GGTCATGCAAGGTCACCCTGCAGAGGGAGGGCCTAAATTTAGCACACACACACACACACACACACACACACCCGCCCCCAGAGGCACCCTTGGCCTTTAAGCTTCAAAAATATCTGAAAATTTCCATAAACCAGAAAGGAGACTGGCTATATCTGGGGGTTCTAAGTCAAGAGCTTACCAGAGTCTCCTGGTGGGGGACCTGCAGGACTAGAGGGTCAGATAGGAGGAACTGCCTATTCTCAGGAATGGATATGACAACCAACCAGCAGAGACAATAACCAAACCCAGCTTAGCGAGGACATTACAGAGCACAAATTCACCAGATGCCAACTTGAGCTACCAAGCCACAGGGCAAGCAGGAAGCTGGCACACAGAGGCCATCATGGCAGGGAGCAGAGGAGGCAGGGAGCACAGGCAGGGTCTGAGGACTACCTTTCCCACTGTCACAAGATCCTGCCACAGAGAAACCATCTGAGAAAAGGAGAAGGAAGTCTGGATTTTGGTTTTTTTTTTAATTTTATAAGAAAAACTGCATACATTTAATATGTACAAATCAGTGAGTTTGAGGATAAGTTGCACCCATGAAACCATCACTACCCTCAAGGCCATAAATATAGTCATTTTCTCCCAAAGTCTTCTCCCACTCACTTTGTTGTTATTTGTGTGATAGGAAGGCTTAACATAGGCTCCACCCACTTAGCAAATGTTAAGTGTACAGTACAGCATCACTAGCTATGGGAACCATGCTGCATAGTAGGTCTCCAGTACAATTTATCTTGCATAACTGGAACTCCATGTCATTTAACCATCACCTTCCCATCCCCCTCCCTCCCTCCCACAGTCGGCACCTGAAGACCACCATTCTATTCTCTGCTTCTATGAGTTTGACTATTTTAGATCCCACATGTAATTTTGAGATCATAATGGTTACCCAAAACAATCCTCTCATCCATATTTGCCAATTGGGTTAAATTTAGTCCTTTTTCTTCCACCGGCTCTCAGAGATCTCTACTTCTGGTGTTCGTGCCCTTGTGTAATTGCTCCCCTCAAGGGTGGCTGGACATAGTGGCTTGCTTCTAACCAATAAAAGACAACAAATGTCCTGGGATGGGACTTGGGAGATTAGGTTTGAAAAAGACAGGATTCCAATTTACTTCCCTCTCTTCATCTCTCGCTCATTCACTTTCATAAAACAAGCTACCGTGCTCTGAGCTGCCTGCAGACAGGTCCATGTGACAAGAAACTGAGGGAGGCTTCCAGCTAATAGTCACAGACAAACTGAAGCAAGTGATGAGCATCAGAACCTTGCTATGTGACACAAATGAGCTTGGAAGAGGATTGTCCTTCAGTCTAGAATTCAGATGATACACAGCCAAGAGAACTAATTCATGCCAGCTTGTCCCAGCCTTTCCCAGAGTTAGCACAGAAAGCCCGACATCCCTTAAAACAACTCAGTCTTGAGCAATCTCTGACAGCTGGTCACCCTAGTCCCAACCCAAATGGTAACTTGAATGTGGCCTTCTGGGAGACCCTGAGCCTGAGAGCCTACTGAAGCCACACCTAGATTTCTAATCTGCAGAAATCATGAGATAATAAATGTTAACCTGCTCAACGGTGGGGTAATTTATTATGCACCAATTGATACCTAATGTACTCTTCATTACCCAGTGGAGTGAAAATTCAAGGGAACAATCAGATCAGTTACAGCAAAGTAAAGAAGCTGCATTTTCTCTGTGCATCTGCATGTATTATGAGTTCAGTTAGCAAACTGTGAGTGTGCCACTCCTAAACAGCTGATTCCAGAAAACATCACTTTCAGTAAGAATGAAGAATTGGGTATGTCTCGTATCTTTGAAGAGTTTCAAATCATATCACGATACCCAGACACAATCACCTGACAGATCCAGGGACTCTCAACCAGGGTTCCAAAGTTGCTGTCAAACTTTATCTCTCATCTGGAGAATGTCTACACAGCCAGATTTTCCAACTTACATAGTGAATCCTGGAAGTGTGACTAGAACTAAGATTTCTCTTTACCTCAGGAAGCAAATATATCATCAAGCCATAACAGAAAATGGGAACAGGAACTCTTTATTATTTCTCCTGTTGCAGGAAATCTGGCTTACTTTAACCAGCTTACTACACAGAGGTCAGCTCCATACCACGCAGATGGGCTCTTAATAAATGCTAGTTCATAATTACGAGGCCTAGAATAGAGCATATTAAAATCCCGAATATTTCCAGTGATAAGCTTCCCTCTGTCATAGGCAGTAGCTGAATGATTAGTTACAGGCATGGAAAAATATGCCATAAAGGTCAATACAAATGTTCCAGTCTCAACTAAGACAAAAATAGCCCCCATAAATACTTGTACGGTGTTTTACGGCTCAGGAACACTTGCACACACTTTATGTCAGAGATTTTTACACTTCAATCTGAAAGGTATTTAAGGCTGGAAAAATTCTTGTCATTCTCCTTTGATAAATGAAAACAAATTGGAGGCTGGGGCTGTAGCTCAGTGGTAAAACACTTGCCTTGCATGTGTGAGGCACTGGGTTCGATCCTCAGTACCACATAAAAATAAATAAAGATATTGTGTATTCATCTACAACTAAAAATATATATTAAAATAAATAAATAATTGAAAACTTAAAGATTTAAATGATTTTTTCTGAGTTCTCAACACTGGGATCCTAACTCAGACATCCCCCAGCATCTAGTGCTTTTTATGATTTCCTCCCCATCAATGGAAAGTGAAAATCTTTATGAATATCCAGCTTTCTACTTTCATTAGGAATTATGTTGGAAGTCCTGTGGAAGACAGAGAAAATCTATAATGCATGTTTATGGAAATAATAGGAATATTATACATTTTTTGTGGGAATTTCCTCCCCACATCCTGGAGTTCCTGAAATGTTGCTTTAGTAATGATTACAATTTGTGTTCAGACTTAGAAATAACATTTAGTTTAAGTGTCATATTCAAGAAAATTTAGAATTACTAAGAACAAAGTACACTAGAGAGCTAAAAACATATGCAAAAGAACACCTTGTGGCAAGTACCCTGAAGAATGGTAACATTCAAATTCAAATCAGCATAAGATGATTGAGCCTGCCCCAGGCTAGGCACATAGCAATATTCTAGACCTGTGCATCAAACATGGTGGCCAATAGCCACATGTATCTATTTAAATACATTAAATATCTGTTCCTGGTTACACTAGTCACATATTAAGGTACCCTATAGCCACCTGAGGCTAGTAGTTAGATATAAAATAATTTCACTATCATAGAAAGTTCCAATAAACAATATTGTACTACTAGACTATCGCGAATAAGTAACCAACTACTTCCAAAATGGCTCCCATTCTTCTGGAGAAAACACTGTACCTCACTTTAAAAATTCAGAAGCATAACTCTGACCATGCTCTATAACAAGGTGTTATGAAAGGAAACATATGATAATTTTTAGAATCATTCCGATTAGACACAAGCAAATTTGAAGTTTTGCCTCATCTTTTGAATGCGTTATGACCTATGTTATAATGCCATGCTGTCCATTTTCCTTGTCTTGCCAGTATTTCATTGTGACCAACATGCTGGAGTTGATACCAAGGACTGGAGTGTCCACACTGTAGAGATGTGCTTCCTGGCTACGCCCATCCCAGAGGATGCCCCAGTGGGCACAGTAACCAAAGGACAGGCTGCCTTTTATACCCTGAGAAAGGCCTGACAGACACACAGAGCTGGACCGTGGACCCAGTCATGGCTGAGAAGCACACACCTGAGACAGGAAGGGGAGAAGGAGGTGGAGGACAAGTGGGAACATGACTAGGGACCTGGCCATCTGACTTGCTGCGAGTCACAGCAATGAGCTCTCAGGACCCACCCTTCCTAACTCAGCACCCTGGCGATGAGCAAGTCTGTTTGGCTCTCACATAGAGAGGAGGAGCAACCACTCAAGCAGCTCAAAGAGTTCTTTCTCCAGCCACTTTCCCTGTTCTACAGATCCCTGTCCTGATTACCATTGTCTTAGTGTCCAGTAGAAATCAGAAAGGAAAAAAGAAAGAAGCATAGAGATCACCTATCCCTTACCTTGAACCTTATAAATAAGGAGATCTGAAGGACAGAGAAGGGGGAGTGAAAGGCACCAGGCCACAGGGCACACTGGTCACAGCACCTGTTTCCAGTCTGAAATGGGGATAATACTTGTTCCTGCACAGAGAGGTCTTGGCAGCAATCTCCCAGCAAACTGCATAGTTACCAGCATTGTGCTCCTGGGCTGTCCTGGCTCCCAGCTCCCCACACGACCCTGCAGTGAGTGGTGCCAGCCACCAGAAAGTGAGTGTGGTGTGACCATTTTCCTTTGGCAAATGTATTCCTAGTACCCTGCTCTGGTCTCAGTCAAGGAATAGCTCTAATAAGTCCATGCTGGCCACTCTCCACTGAAAACACATCAACAGTCTACGTGAGGTCTAAATCCCCTCGAGACCAATTCAATTTGGGGATAAGGACAAAACTCATCCCTCCAAATGTTATAACTCCAACAAAAAATGCTGTCACCATAAATCTTGATTCATCCACACCATCCTGTCATTATCATTTCATTTTTCAGGGTCTTAAAACACTTTCTAAATTTTAGTTGTACATGTTTCAGATATAAATAGCTTAGGAATCTCTCTACGCCTTAAGAAGTGTTAGGGTATTGCTACTCAGTTAAGAAAGGGACACCAGGTAAACTGATGATTTAGAAGAAAAAAAATTTCCTATGGGTGAAAAGAGCCCTTCAAGGGGAAATATAAAGGCCAAGGATCAAACTCAACCTGCACTGAAATTTTGTGTAGGGCAGTTCTCAGATCTAATGGTGAAAAGATGCAGTGTTTTCAATAGGTCACTGGCTCTTTAAATTGCAGTCCTGAAACCTCAACCACTGAATTAGGTTATGGATCTGTGGGTGCAGCACAGTGAAATGTTTAATCAGAAAACAGAAGACTTTCTGGAACAAATAAGCCAAATGAATGCCTAGAAGTGGAAATGTTAACTAGCGACATAAGATCAGAGTACAGCTGTGCCTAAATGTACCAGGCTTCTGGCCCAGTGAGCAAAGTCTGTGAAAGATTAAAAAGAGAGAGAGAGAGAGAGAGAGAACGAACTATATTGCTTTTCCTAAATTCAAAGAGTAAACTTTTGCCACATAAATTCAGATTTTCTGGAATGAGACATGAGAAATGAAGAAAGCAAACTTGGATGATTTTAAGGTAAATATTTCCCAGGTAATTGTGTTGAGAGGTGTCTGTTTCTCCTTCTTCTGGCAGAGAGACAAGCAGCCTGTAACATCTTTCCAGAGAAATACCTCGGATTTGTTTCAGTGACCTTACAGTCTGGGTATGATGGCACCGGCACACACAAGAGTTTATTGGTTAATAATGAATGAATCACATTTTATTTGTATGTTTTAGGACAATTTATAAGCTCTTGTGGTTGATTCAGGCTGTAAGACACCACCTAACAAAATATGGTTTCAGTATCTGCATGGGCTGCTCTTCCTTCTAGGTGGAAGCAGGGTTCCAAAAAGCAGGCGAGGTATGACTGCCGGCCAAACTCATAACCCCAATTACCCAGCACTTCGACCAAGGCCTCCAAGGATCAGGCATCGCTTCTGGTCGCTTTGGTATGCTTGGATAGAAGACAAATCAATTTCAACAGTCTGTGATTGACATTATTATTATTATGATGATGATGATGATGATGATGATGATGATGAACCATAACATCCTGAGACATTTATCAGGCATATAATGTTTCGAGTATTTTTCTCTTTATATTCTTTAACAAAGATACTATTATTTCACCCATTTTATATTTGAGGTTTAGGCCGTTTTTTTTTTGTTTGTTTCATTTTGTTTTTTAATTTGCCCAGAATTAGACATCTGGTATAACAGAGCTGGGGCCTTCAGTAGAGACTCTGGAATACCTTTGTTAAAAACGTGAAATACTCCCTCTATATATGATGTGTCAAAGTGCATTCTGCTGTCATGTATAACTAGTTAGAACAAATTAAAAAAAATCTGTGAAACTATACTTTAGTCGTTCTTAATTGAATTAAGCAGGAAAGATTTACCAAGCTAAATAATCAGCAAATGGTTCCAAACTGTATGCAATCAAATGCTGAATAGTGAAAAGCAGATTCTGAAGACCTAGAGAGGGTCAGCAGAAAGGAAACCCAGTGGGAAAGGCCCAGGGAAGGCTTGCAGGAGAAGATGCAGTGTGAGGCAGTCTTTGAAGTGACCTTCACTGTGCAGAGAGAGCAACGAAAGCAAAGACAGCAGGCTGGAAGAGATTTGGAGGTATGGGGGCCAATGAAGGGGCCAGCCTGAGCAGAAAAGAAATAGTTGTCCCCTTTCAGGTTTATTCCTCCAGGTTTCAAGTTCACAAGGAACTCAAAAAGACATACAGATCAACCCAGGTACTATGCAATGGCACACCCGACAGGCAATGGGGCTGGAAGCTGCCCTTGAACTACCATGAAGAAAGCATGCTCTGTAATCCTGTAATCAACATAACACAGACTGAGTACCCACCACGTGTGCTACTAATGCTAAATGTCGGGAATAGAAGGGAGAAGCAGATGCAATTCTGGTCCCCAGGGCACTTAGAACTGCATAAGCACATAAGTGTTCATGGGACCAGTGAGTCTGGGGACGAGTATGACAATAAGGACAAACTTAAGTATAAAGGAACAAAGGAAGGAGTATTCCATCTCTCTCGAGGCAGAAAGTCTTTTCAATAGTAACACTTGATGTGGGCCTTGCAGGAGGAGCAAATCATGAAGCTGGAGAAAGGAATGGAGTTGCAGACAGAAGAGGTGGCAGGAGAAATTGCCTGTAAGGAAACCCACATGTGCTTGTAAGGAAAGCAGCCCAGCAGAGCTGGATGGAGAAAACACCCAAGGTGCCTGAGGTGAGGTGGCAGAGCCAGCTGGAGTAGTGTCAGGAGACACTTGGGGTGAGGAATAAGACAAGAAGGAATTTGAACACAGTGGGGAGCCACAGAAGAACTTGATCATAACAATGAGATTATTTGACCTCTGATATAAGATGAAAATCTGGCAATGGTAAAGGATGTATGCCTAAGGGGTGAACTAAAAGGCTCCTTTGATATTCAAAGATGAAGATGATATCATCAAGGGAGCCTGAATTCAAGTGATGGTAATGGACAGGAAAAGGATTCCCAAGGCATGAAAGATGATCAGGCACACTTAGTATCTAAAAGATAATGATGACTTCCGATTTTAGTGACTTTGGGATAATGGTGTCACGAAACAGGACAGGGACAAGACCAAAAGCAATCAGGAATAAGTGCTACTTAGACTAGAAAAATACTCCTAATGCTGAACACATGCTGGTACAGTCTCAAACAAAACTGGGTGATGCTATTTTCTTTAATGACTGTGTAGTCTGCCGTGGCAGGTGGCCCAGAGGAGTGATAACAGGGACAGAGGACCCCCCCTCCCCAGGTCACTGGTTCAAAGTCATAGTTCTCAAGTGTCTGAAACTTGTTCTCCTATCTGACAGCTGTTCAATGGCTCATGTGAGAGGAATTAGAGGTCTTAGTTGAGGTCCTAGCAAAACAGGTGCTCCTCTTTATAACTGACACCTTTGTTGATGGAGGAGCGATTTTTTTTTCAAGAAATAAGGCAGTTCTAGTCCTTAGGTTGCCTGTTGAGGCATTTTTGGACTAACCAGAGTCATTTTTTTTCCCAAGAGCATTCAACCGTGGCACAGCTGATTTGTTTGAAATGTTTAAGATTTTTAAAAATCAAGAATAGGCGTTGACTGAGAGTGCTAAAGCAACCATTTAATAGAGCTTTTCTGCTTCCATCTGTCCTTTACTCTTTTGAGGTCACTTCCCTAAAGAGATTTGTCACATAACAGGTCTCTATTCCTTTCTCTATTCCTTTTCATTTCCTTGTCAACATCTGGATCTAAAGAAAGCATTCAGCCTGAAATAGTGGATCTCCCTCCCTTTGGAAAATAACACTATATGTTTTTGACACTATAGGTTTTTCAAATATATATAATACATATATATAGTACATATATATGTATACATATATTTAATACATACATATATAATTTATATATATATATATAATTTTAAAAAATATTTTATTCCCTTCAAACTAGAATTCCAAGTGGGAGGATATTTGTCCTGAACATTAGGTAGGACACACAGGTCGTTCCCAAAGACCTCCACAGCAGAGGAGACCTTGTGCTCCACAACCATGTTTGCTTACCCTGCACCAGTGTGTGGACTGGCCTGTGGCAAACCACTGTAAAAGAACGAAGTCACATAAGAATTGTGCTTGAGTCTGTACATTCCTTGGTGTCAACTAAAGCCACAGGAACTTTGGCAGTATTTTCAAGTTACACCCATTCCCCCATTGCAATGCAGGTCTGTGAACTAAAGTCTCAGCTCTGCCAAAAACCACAGTGATTATCAACAGTATAAGTAATCAAGTAAAAGCATTTTTTTTTCCACAGCCCACTGGCCAGATTGTCATGAAAGCAAAAAGTAGCAGCAAAAATTGATTGCTGTCTGCAAAGATAATTTCTATCTGAATTCTATTATTGTATTGCATCGGTGATACATAATGTGTGCCCTGCATCTTTGCCATAAACATTTTAGGTTTAATTTAGAAATCTCTGAGTCATTAGAAAAGTTCTTTCTCATGATAATGAAGAGGGCACTGTGAACTCAGCACTGAAAAGGGAAAGGAAAAAACAGGCAAGATACCCACGTGAGAAGTAGAAAAAATGACCAGTGGGCCAAATAATAGGAAGAAATTCAAAATATACATAGCTGCTTTCTATTGAATAATTAATACATGCCTCGCTGTTTTTCATTATAAAGCAGCTTGAGTATTTTCAATGTTCCAATAAAATGTGCTCTGGTTGTTGATTTGTTGTTGTCGTTTTGAATGCTTCATTTCTGGGAGGAAAATGAGACTCGGATTCGAGAAAACAAGACCTAATAGATCGACTCAACTAAACCTGCCTGCCCCTCACAGACAATCCATGCTGCTTGGTCAATAATCACTAGCATTGGTATTCAATAGCTGGCAGGCAAGACGTTTTTAGGACAACTCTTCAACCCTATACCACTGGAAAATCTTATCTAAATTGAATTTTTCATTATTCAACGATTAATTTAAAAGCCAAAAAGATGGCTGGTGAAAAGCATCAGACCCTACTGGAAATTAATGGAGTGCAAATATAATAAACTTGAGCCTTAGGCCTCCTTCAAGATTAGTAGGCGTGAATCAGTGGTTTGAAACCTGGTTGCATATTAGAGTGACCCAAGGGGCTTTTTTAAAGTACTGATGTTGAGCAAGCCCCTCCAGGGACCATTTAGTAAAATATCAGGAGCAGGTAGGGCCAAGCATCAGTCTGGCTAAGCCTGTCTCTCCCTCCAGGTGATTTTGATATACACCCTGTTTTTGAGAATCGCCCTTTCACATTCTGGCCTGCCTGTGAGGAAAGATAATTTTGTATTTGCCTACAAATACTCCCAACTGTTTCTGCTAAGAGCAAGTGATGCATAAACTTGGATGTGCACGGGAGATGACTGGAGTATTTTAAAACTGATACCTGGGTCTTACTCCTCTAGAATTCTGAGTTTTCAGTGACTGGACAATCACCTCCAGGTGGTTCCAAAGTGTGAACGAGTTTGAGAACCACTGCTCTATGAAATTGATGAGGACTTCACTTGCTCACTCACCTCAAAGCCTGAAAAGTCTGTGATGAGTATAACCAACCCTCTCTATCTGTGGGTTCCACATCCTCAGAATAAACCAACCTTGGATCACCTACATGCAAAAATTACACCTGTACTAAACATGTGCTGGCTTTTTGAAAATCATTATTCTCTTAAAAAATAAATTATAACAACTATTGACAAAGCATTTACATTGTTGTATAGGTAATCTAGAGATGATTTAAAGCATATAGAAAGATGTGCTTGATTATATGCAAATACTGAGCATCTTCACAGGGAGTTCTGGACCCAATCCCCCTCAGGCACCAAGGGACAACTGTATTTACAGGTTAGCACTCAATGTAACCAATAAATAGCCTGCTAAAATAAAAGAAATTCCTCCTCTTTTCAGAACTATCAGATGCTCAAGTCTAGACTGCACAAATAACCACATAAATGAGTGTTTATTTTGAGTAATAAGACAGAGTTGTATCCATAGAAACAACTGACTAATAATTATAACAGCTAATTAGGTAAGTGATTTCCAAAATCTATTTTAATGATAACTAATGCAATGAACTTCAAACTTCTTATTCAGTGACATATTTTCCATACTTCTCTTAGCAGTTTGTCAAGGCCTGGCAGTAGGTCAACCAAAAGCCAAAATTTTCAGCCCCAGCCATGTTGATTTATCCCTCAGAACTACTCAGTGAGAATTAAAGTAGCATTCAACAATAAGCTTGGGTTTGGGGGTCAAATAGACCATAATCAGAGTCTCCTTTTCTCCGTTCAGAAGCAACCAGCCTCAGGAGTGGGTCTGAAGCTCCCCGCCCATTTTCTCATCAGCAAGATGAAGCAGTGTCGTCTACTCCACAGCGTTGTTATGAGGACTGGAGATAAATAACTTCCCTATTAGAATGCTTTGCACATAGCTATTACTAGAAAAATTATTGTAACTACTATTTAACTTATTGCCCCTAATTGGGGGCTGTTCAGGATTAACATAGTACCAGAATTTAATCACTCTGGAGAGGATGCCAGGTATAAAGATCAAATCATTCTGCCTTTCTGCCATCTCATCTGTGTCTGGCAATAACTTGGCCTAACCACTCTATTCTGCCCTATTTTCCAGCTCATTTTGAGGGTTTTTGTTTTGTTTTGTTTTGTTGACAATGAACACAATATTTGGTGGTTTCTCTGGTGTTATTGCCCTTCTAGGCCATACTGGTTTCCTTCAATTATTCTCTGGGGCAAGGATGACTAGATAATCCTTGATATTCTCTCATTCCTCTCCCATTTCTGCTTCCATGTAATTACCAAATCCATCTCTCACAAGCACGTTACTGAAGCTTAATAAAAACAGAGAACTTTGCCATCATCAATGGTATTTGCTCAGCTAAGCAAACAAGCCTGTTTGATAAGCCCAGAACCTTCTGTCCCTTTTCCCTCCTTGCCAGAGTCCCAGTGTCCTAGAGTTTGGACTAGCCCAAAATTCATTGCTCAGATCCCCTGGTCTTCCATAGAACTTCATCACAGTAACTAACTTCAGCAGAACAATTCTGACAATGTACTTTTGCACACTCAAAATGGATCTCAACCGGTGCTAGAAGAGAGGTATGGTTATACACGAGTAAACAGAGGCCCAAAGAATAGGTGACCTTCCTGCAAGTACACAGCTGGAGGAAAACTAAGGCCTGCGGATGCCCAGTTTGGTTTTTCTGACATCTGTACATAGCACTAAAGTGAAAGTGTCCTCCAATTTCAGCCCAGGGAAGAGTGATATTAATTTTTCCCTGAGAGACTTTCTACTGGATGAATGTCTTATGGCCAAATGCATGACTGACAGCATTCAGCAGTCTAGCCAGGTCCCACACTAGAAAGAAAAATCAAATGGTCTTAAGAGGTTCCCAGATCTCCAGAACACTGACACTGCAAATTATGTTACAGAGGAGTTCTGTGAACTGCTCCCGGAAAAGCCCACTCCACTTCTATTGTCTCTACAAGCCTGAGGCACTTGATCCATAAGCTGGGGAGCCCTCTGCAGTACTGGAGGAGGAGACCGTCTCCCAGTGAGCAACCATTTGCCTTAGGATAGCTACATCAAAAAGATATTTCAAGCCAGTCAGATTTTACCAAAGGCAAAAAGAGCACTAGAGAATAGCAACTGGTTAGTAGCTTGTTAGTTCTACCACTGTAAAGGAGAT